TCCAAAAATGAGCGCGATCTGTCAGACAGTTCGTTTACGGCAGCTGTTGAAACCAGTTCACCTCAGTAGTGCGTTGCGAAAAAAACAATGGAAAAAAATATTGGACAAAGAGTTTGCATCAAATTTTGTGTTTCGAACGAAATTTCGTGTGCAGAATCGTTCCGAATGCTACAAAAGGCTTATGGGGAATCAGTTTTATCGAAAACTCAAGTTTATGAGTGGTACAAAGCCTTTCAGGACGGTCGTACGACCGTCGAAGACATTTAGCAACGCACTACTGAGGTGAACTGGTTTCAACAGCTGCCGTAAACGAACTGTCTGACAGATCGCGCTCATTTTTGGCATAGTAATTAATGACAGTGCTGCCAAACTACATAAACTTAAAATATCGAAAAATATACAGCGCGCGAATTTTAAATGAGAATTTCCGAAAACTTTTCAGTCTTAATGTAGTCCGTATTAAATTTATAATTTATAATTTATTATTATTTATTATACGGTTCAAATGTTTATTAAGCCAAAAAATGTCTTGCAACGTGTTTTAAACATTAGAAAAGTTAAACTTCAGTAGGTCCCAATAAAATTGTACAGATATTGTATTGTCTTATTGTTCTATATATCTGTCTAATACCTTCTTAGATGAAAACATACCTTCTTCGATCGCATAACACACAATATGCCTAATATAACATCGACTGAATATTATACATCGTAAAACTCTATTAGAAAGATCTTGCAACTCAATTTTAATACTTCAATCATTGTTCTGATTTAGAAGAACATAAAAAAATAAAATTGTTAACCATTTTTAAAAATGTAAATGCTTAGTGGGTTGTGCTTTTTAATCCATCTATACTTTTTATGCCAAAACCAATCAAAACTTCCACAGCTACACGTGACAAATTCTCATCTAATCCATAACAATAAAGTTTTACTGTTAAATTCAAAATACAATAAATAAATATATTCTTCATTCCATATATTGACAAAAATTCAAGTTATTTTATATATGATTTATATTTTTCAAAAACCCACTTGCTATTTGAAAAAATCTAAAACCGTTCTAAATTTGTGCTTTACCAGAAATTAGCATTTTGATTTAATTAATTATTGCTAATTTTGACAAATTCCACAATCCATGCGTAAGAACCTTGAGCTGAGACTAAAAATTCTAATAAAAAAGTGAAAGTATTATAAAACAAAAAAATTAATTAGAAACCATTAATTTAAAATGTGAGCTAATTTGTTTACCAAAACTGGATCAATCTATCAAAAAAGCTGGTATCTAAAGTTAGAAGATTTTTCGTAGGAGAACTTAATGCTCGCGAACAAAATTTTTATTACACGAATATGTAAATTTCTTTTAACACTTAAATCTTTGTATAACAGAAATCCTATACACCATTAATTTCTAATGTTTATTATATTTTTTTAGTGCTAACTAGTTGCACTCCCAGAACTCTTGTTCCGCTATACGTTAAGATCATACAATTTGCAGAATATGTATTCATGAATTCATTCACTAATGAAATCATGAATCCTTTATTCAATATATACCGAGCACTTTCAAGTTTCAGATCTATAGTACAATATCAATTAAATATTAAAGTTAAATATGTAAATCTGTCTTTTCAAAAAAATTTAATATACATATTTCATACTGACATTATAACTTGCATGATATAATGAGTCAAATATGATGAATGAAATTATATATAAATAAAAAAGCTTGAAAGGTCATTAATTACTTATTTGAAACAAAATCTTCACGAAATCTTCTTTCTTATTACTGGAATTTATTGACTGATCACTTTACCCTCCAAGCGCACTTAGCGCATTTTACTCACAAATACTCGAGTTAAAAGTATCGAAAAATTAAAAAATTAAAAAATAAATAAATAAATACAAATAATAATATTAAAAAAAGTGCTACCTACAATCAAACAAAATTAAAAAGCTAGCTCCAGTTAAAAGTATCGATACAGCAAAAATAAAAAAGTGCTACCTAACTGCATCAAAAATAAGCGATTTGAGTAGCAAATTATGTTAATAAATTTCTATATATAAGTAATCTAAAAATACAACATTGAAATTTAGATTTGATAACTGAAGACGATATAAATACATATGAACTATCGGTGAATTTTTTGTCCAAAAATTCTCTTCCTGACCCGAAGCAATGCTCGACAGTCATAACGACTAGATGAGACACAAAATTCAAACAACAAATGATAGATCTAAAGCAAATATAGATTTGCTAATTGTAAACGAAATAAATACACACGAATTAACAGTAAATTTTTTGTCCAAGAATCCTTTTCCTCACTCAGAACAAGGCTGGACAGTTATAACGACTGGATAAGACACACAATTCAAGCAAGAAACGATAGATCCAGAGCAAATATAGATTTATCAAATGAAAATGACACAAGTACACGTATATTAATAGTACATATTTTACCACAGAATCTTATTTTTGACTATGAGAAATGCTAGGCCATAGAAAATGCGACTCCTTAGACTGAAGCACAGGATATTGTAGTTTTACACTTTATGATGGTTTATGAAAAAATTATCTAGTAATTACAAAATAACTAACAAATATTATGTTAATAATTATAATTTTATTATTTATAATTTTTAAATTTTATTTCCTCTTTCTAGTTACTTATTACTGTCCTTTTGGCTTTCGCCTGTGCCGACAACATCGATAAAGATGCACAAATTCTGAGTTATAAGAACGATCCAGCAGATGCTGAAGGTAACTACGCGTACGCCTTCGATACAAGCAATGGTATACAACAACAGGAAGCGGGTAATCCCAACGGTGTTGCAGGTACCTTCGAATTTATCTCACCAGAAGGAGAAAAAATTGCTGTAAGCTACACTGCCGATGAGAATGGTTTCCAACCAGTTGGTGAACATCTGCCAACACCACCACCAATTCCAGAAGCCATCCTTAAAGCACTCGAATACATTGCAGCGCATCCACAGCCTGAAAATCAACACAACTAAAAAAAAAACAACAGTATGAATGAAACAGCAATAGAGGAGGGTTCTCGCAGAGCTTATATTGCGATGGAAAATTTATGTTACTTTCCAAAATTTTACCAGTTTCAACTAGTCAACATGTTCAGATGAAAAACTGGAAATAATTTAAAACTATTATATATATACATTTTTGCTATATCTTTTGTTATATTTTTATTTAAAAATTTTTATGTAAAAATAATTCTCTAAATGAAGCCATAAAATTAAGTTCCAAACTGGAAGATATTTTCTATCTTTTCGATGTATGCGACTGTACAGTTCGGCTTTAGAGGCTGTACAGTTATTTTCGTTCATTGTATTCGCTTTTGTATATATGTATGTATGCATATATCTTTATGCAAAAACACACACATCTTCATATTTGCTATAAACTATACTTTGTTTATTATTTACTGTTTTTTAATTATTATAACATTTAATTAATTAATTAATTTGCTAATTAAAAGGCACCACACATGAAACTGCTTCACATAGAAGTTAAAATAAAAATTTAAAATATATAAAAAACAAAAAAAAAATAAATAAAACTTCTGTATTTTTGGTTTCAGTTTTGCTTTCCTGATTTTAATCTACGGTTTTGCATATTTTCAGAATCATGCAGCGCGAGACCTTCACATTTTAATGTCAAAACAAGTTGAGATCCATTTTTCGTTAAGGTGAACTTAAAAAGCATGGAAATCGCGTATCTATGCAAATTTTTTCTGCTTCTTCTTCTTCTGCTGCTGCTTTAATTCAATACAGTTTAAATGACTTGAGACATTGAGTATTAATACCAACAACAACAATAACAAAATAAACAAAAAAAAAAAAAAACTATGGAAAGACACATTGTTTGGCTCGCAATTTACAAAGAATGAACAACTCTGGTCTGCGGTTTGTAAGCGTCGGGTGCGTTTCTGGACAGTATTGCGCAATGACTGGGCATTATGCAAACCCGTTTTGCTTGCAGGGTTATTAACACTTTCGTTGGGAGATGGCCAATTAAAGAAAATAAACAAAAGCATGAAAGTGTAAACTAATGAAGCAGCAACCAAACGACAACGTGTGAACTTTTTCGTTTCCCGTTCTTTCCTTATCTTTTGTTTCAGTAAAAATAAAAAAAAAAAACAGAAAAAAAAACGTGACGTACACTTGTTCACGTTTTTGTTTTTTCTTGTTGTTGTTTTTTTTTGTTCTTGTATTTTTTTTTTAGTAGCGCTTACAGCATCAACGTTTCAGCTTTTATTTTCTTCTTCTTCTTTTTTCGGGTGAACAAAAATGTAGGTCAATGTTGTGGTTACTCTTTTTGTCATTTTGCGCTCTACATTTGCAGAAAGTATTTTCGGTTTTAAAACTTTAATAATTAGTGTTTTAAAAACTTACCAAAAGGATGATTAGGTATATTTAATTTCAAATAATTATTCTGGAAGTCGATGAATTGATTCGAAGAATGTTAAATGTTAATGTTGAAATTAGCAAATCATAATGAAACTATATTATTCTAGCTTAGATTAGATTAGGTTAGGTTAGATTAGGTTGGAGTGGTGGCCTTGTGTAAAAAGCCCACTTGAGCTCATATAATAACCTACTGTAATACCGCGGACACCAAATAATACTAGGTATTATGCACAATATAGTTTTACTCTGAAGGAAGGAAGTTTATATTATTACTGATTATATTATTACTGATTAGAGCTATTTCAACAGACTGCATCTCATCTAAAATAGTTCACTATTGTGGAGGATATATAAACATACTAGGCAATAGTTTGTCTAGTTTGGGCTCTCGAACATTTTAATACAGCAGAGAACGAACACGCAAAACTGAGTGGACTAGGTGCATCTACAATGGGACCTTTCGTTTCAATTCCTATTCCTTTTACTCACAAATGAAAATTGATTTATGAACATTTTTTGTATATATTGGGTCATATTACCTTAGCAACCAGGTCAAAAGCTACATAGCGCTTATACATTAAATGTAGAGCCTCTAATTTGTTACACAGAAGTAAATTGAATATATCTAAGTTAATATTTGTACTAACGGCGCACTAGACTATAGGATGATTTGGAGCCAGGCACATATATGTCGGAGAAGATAGTGGAATACCTATTACGTGCGATATTCAGACTTGTACAGAACTAAGCTTAAGCTTTTAGCTGCATAGTTGTATTTATTAATGCGTTCCTCTAGTTCTAACATGACCATTCTTATACCCACAATTCCGAAGAATATGATATTAAAACAATTTCTTAGTTAATTGAGCAGAATTCGACTCTCTTTTCTCTTTACCTACCGTTTTTGCAACTTAAATATATATAATATTAAGATATTTGGACCAGTCGCGTATAAGTTGGACTAATATAAAATATACAGTTCGGATATATATACAGTTCTGAACAAAAGTCAAGTCAGCAATTTATCTAAACACCAGCTTGAAGTAAATTTTTGGGTACAATCAGAAATGATAAATATGTATCTAATGTGGGAAATCTTTTTGAACATTAGTAAAGCCCATTAATGTTGTTAAGAAACCTTAAACTTTAACTTTAAAAGCTTAAAATATAACATATTAAAAATTATTGATTATGTTGGAAAACAATTTCTTAGAAGTGAGCTAAAAGATTATGTCGTTTATAGTATATTCAAAAAATATTATTTTAATTTGAAATTATATCATTTATTTCTTAAAAGTACTGGTAGTAGTACTATCATTACGACACTACTTACAATATCTCACGATACAATAAGTCAATACATTTCAGTTTTTTTTTTATTATAAAATTTTTTTAATTAAATGATTTGTTGTAGAGGAAGCAGAGAGGAAGATGTTTTAACTACAACTCATTAATATCTTTCATATGCCATAAATGAAAAAGAAGAAAAACGTATATTTTTAATTTAAAAGCTACAAATGCCTCTCTTGATGTATGCAATACCGAAGATAATCAAATTATTATTACCGGCGTCGTAATAATGCAGCGCACCACAACTTCAATCATCGCGATGAAACTCAAAGACTATTCCAAGAGCTCTTCTACTTATTGGTTTCGTGCAGATTTCCACATATCCAGCAAAAAATAGTTAAAAAATAGGTGAGTATGTTATGCGCCCATTCGATTGTTGCAGATATAAAATATTTTTGAATTGTTTTACGAATTTGTGTCAAAATGTTTGCCAATATTTTGCAATGTATCTCGAATTGAATTCATTACGTCTGTCAGACATACGTGTTTAATTGCTCAAGTTGTACCTAGTAAATAAAAAATCCCATTGTAGTCAGAGTAAATACATTAAGGCGTGAATAGTTTTTATATATAAATATTTGAAATTACAAAAAAAAAAAACGGAAGAAATATATGAGTAGAAACTATACAGTCTTCTCCGCAGAGGTGTTATAAATGTTCACCAGGAAGTATTAAAAGTCTCAAAAGAAAAGGTTTTTTTTTTATTTTATTCTTCTATTTTATTTCATTTATTTTTATAATTATTATTATTTATATTTTTTTATGGTATTTTATTTTCTTTTGACTATCTGTAGAGTAATTACCTGAAACTTTATATTTTTTAAATCCATGCTTTATCACGGCGAAAGAAGTCGGCGAGATTAAAATATAAGCTCTGTGATTTATTAAATTTAAAAAAAAATTAAAAGTCTGAAAATTTACTTTGTATTTATTTGTATAGACTATCAAGAATATTAAATTTTTAATTAAATGAACAGTAATTAGTATTTTAACATAAGAGACGTAAAACAATTACTATTATTATTCGAATGGATACTAATATCCTGCGTTGTGTAAAATGTATTATGTTAATCTACTAATATTATCTATCATGGATTAAATCGTACAATATACTCTGGTACAAGTTTTTCACACTTTATGATTTCTGTAGGTGTTCTGTAATCTTCAGTCCAATCTTCGAAGGGTTATAGTACACAAGTGAAGAAACTAGTTAATCCATTAGGAAACCGTTTAGTTAGTTTATCTAATCTTAAATCAATACATACTGAGTCACAAGTTACCATTGATATTCTTTATATATTTATTTATATTTATAGATCTTGACTTTATGACCGAATATAGTTTATATTCACATTTATTTTTTGTTTGACAGTCATGCATAAGTACAGTCGCTGCAAGTACAAAAGTAAAATAAAAAAGAATAAATAGTAGTATTTGCAGAATATATTATATATATATATAAACGGACCTATTCTGTGCACTTGACAGATTTGTCAAATTCTTTAATAAAATTTTTGATTTTTATAAAGCAGAAAGCTTTTTGGTATTCTGGACACATCTTGACAAATTTCAAAGCTCAAGTACCAAGTGCTTCTCACCACACTATGGTGTAAAGTGTTTTGTATAGAAAACTGTTCGTAATTGTTCGTAACTGTTCGTAAAAAATGCTTGTAAAGAGCACATATTTTAAGTTGCCAAAAGCATTTTTCATGCATTCAAATAACAATAAACAATATGCTTGTAAAGAGCGTATATTTTAGGTAAGAATATTTGTCATGCATGCAAAAAATAAAAAATGCTTAAAAAGAGCATATTTTTATAGTTGTCAACAGCATTTGTAGTACTGACAATTAGCAAGGAATAGAGCTTTTTATTTATGTCACAGAATACCAAAACCTTTACAGCAGTCAATTTTGACAAGTGTCAATGTTTGACAAGTTTATAAAGTGTACAGAATAGGTCCGAAAATATATATGAAACATATATAAATAAATATATTTCTTTAAAACAACTTATATATTTAATAATTATAATGATAATAACCGAAGAAAAATTACGGGAATTTGCTTTTCCTGTGAAAGATAATAGCTTTGTTTGTATTAGATAATTCAGATATGCGATTTTTGCAGCTAACTGATAACTTGAATTTTAAGGCCCAAAATTGGAAAGATTTTGTTGATACCGACACTGATGTATAAGTGAAAAAAGCACCAAGGTCGACATCTCGACCTAAGTTTAATAGGTTCTCTCAATACTACAATATACATATAGAGGAAGTTAAAATTCAAAAAAATATTTTGAATGCATAATGAGAGTACAGATCTCAAAGTCGCAAGTCAAAACTCCTGAAGATAATAGTAATATTGGTTCCGGACAATCCAAATATTTAATAATACTGGCGTTTTTAAATAATACATTTTTCTAGTAGAGATTGCAATGAAGCACCATTAAAACTGTGGAAAAAATATTATTTCAAGACAAATGCTTATTGAATATACGGTAATATACGTCAGTAATGTCATTTATTGCATTGAATGACAAAATCTATGTCTTGAAGGCCAGATCAGCTCTAGTTCTATTGAGTCAGCTTGAGAAGACTGTTTTGACATTTCTAAATACTATTTAATTCTCTGATTAAATCATTAAATCCTGATCGTTAAATATTGATTCATTTTTTTTTTGTTTATATACA